GTTGTGTGACAGGTGCCGATGTACACCAATTCTATAGTTCCCATGTAGAAGCTAAAGAACTCAGACGATACCTCCCTTCCTGCATCAAAGTATGAGGTAGGGTGGGATGAGGCTGAAAGATGTGCTAAGGGATTTCTGAAGGTGATCACTTTAAAGCAAAGCTAAGGAAGTGAACCGCAATAGAACTCAGAAATACCACAGCCTATAGAGATGGCCTCATGTAGAGATGAATGCAGCCAGTTGTGTGCTTTCTAGAAGTTTAGCTGCCATTTGGAATTGTTTTCCAAATGCTTTGAATGATGGGACTGGCTTGGTTCTTCTAACTTAGGTATCTCGGGCAGATTTTAGAATACAAGGGGTTGTTGGCCCCTTCTCCCCCTCATTCTAGAAATGTCTAAATCACTAGAACATCAATACAGTAGTCATAGAGGAATGTCTCCCTACAGAAAGCAGTCCCTAAGTTGAACTGATCACCTGAAATCCAGGCTTCCACAGGAGAGTGTGCAGAAGTATCCCTTAGCTAAACAACTGCTCTCCAAATTGTTAGCCAGCACCTTCAGGCAGTCCTCATCTGAATGCTTTCAGGAATGCCTTTTTACTTCCAGTTGAAGCAATCCAGGATAGGTATGACCTTTGGTCTTGGGAATTCTTTCAAATCATACTGTAGGGATGAAGCAAGTCAATTGGCACCAATTTCTTTGCATGAAGGATGGAAAGTAATCATGGTCCCTGGGAGGCTTGCTCAAATCTTGGCCATTTTACTCCCAATGTTTTCTAAAACCAGTGTACAGTATATTACCCCAGGCTTTAAAGCCTGAGAGTGTAGACTCTGAGATTTGAAAATGAAGGGTTTTCTCTTATGGGTGTCTGGTACATGTTTATTTGCAGGAGGGTAAGAGAATGATTATTCATTTCAGAAATACACCTGCATGTTCCAAATCAAGAAATTGAAAGACCCACATTCTAGGCTTACATTTCTTCCTTCTTTGAAATAAGGGTTTTTTCTCCATTCTGAGCTCACTGAAATCCCACAAACCAAGGGGTCCTATTATGATCTGTAGTCACAAAATTGCCTAGGAATTTGTCTGAAGCCCTCTGCCATTTCAGGAGGACCATGAGGTCTTATCCATTCTGTTGCATTTTTATTCAATGATGAGTATGGAATGGTTGAATTAAAAAGTATAATTGCCCATAACATTCATGCTGGCAAATGGACTGACTTGTGATTGGCTCATGAAGGAAGTAGCATTATAACTTGAGGAGGGCTGAAAGGACCTGGAAGCCCACACGCCTTCCATTCACCTCTTCCAACAACTATCAGCCACTGGAAGTTGCTGACAGCAGAGTATCTCACCCAAAAATGAAGATGACCTGGTATGGAACATGTGCTCCCAATGCATTCACTCTGGATGGGGGAATGGCACAACTCACCAGTGTGTTCTACCACCAACAATGCACACCAAAAGGTCTTCTTTAGGTTTCATTTGATTTTCATTTGGATAGGTCCTCAGCACTCACAAAATAAGAGTGATGAAATGGAAGGAATATCTGGATGAGATGGGAACCACTTCTTGTAGGGTGCAATTGAGCTTCTGCTGTCTCCCTTCTCACTGAGTACCACAGGCAGCTCTGAACAGAGTTGGCACAAAGTCCTCAGCTGACCCTTAGAGGAAAGTGAAGCCGTAGGTAATCCATGGCTCTCCAAATGGCAGCACGTTAGAGCCACTGGGCCATGGTATACTCTGTGATTAGCGTAATTTGCATAGATTTGTTTTCCAAAATGCTTTACAGGCTGTAGCCCCTAATGGCACTCCAGAGACTAGGGACACTCAGTGATCCTCAGGAAGCCATCCAATTTTGAATGCACACTCGAGTCATTCTCTGTGTGGGAGGGACACAAGCTTGTATGCCTTATTACAGCCATTGGACTATTTAGGACATCTATACCACCTGGGAGGGGTGAGAATACCCATCTTTCTGCCCTATGGGGATTCTCCAGCTATCTCTAGGACAGGAGACATAGGGAGGAAATGCTAATGGAATAATCAAATGCCCTTAATTGAAATATGTAGTGAAATTCATTACACTGATCTTACTATACCCTTGTAAGAAGATCATGTGTTGATTAAAACTCTGGTGTGGGGGAGCACCAACACAGGCTATTGTATTTCATTAGCATCCAGCTTTTCTTAAGTATGTTTTGAAAATATTAAGTAGTATTTATATTTCTCAGAAATCTGGGCAGGAGTGAGTGACTAGCTTGTGAAATTCCATGTGAAAATCTTGTATCATCATAATTCCTATATCCTGCATGAACGGCTTTAGTCTGTCTGGTTTCTTTTTGTGCACTTTATCTAAACTTGTCAGGGCTCTGTCAGATCTGTACCATTTGTAAGTGGGGAAGATGAAACTCAGAGAGACAATTGCCCTTGTTGGGAAACAAGGATGTCGTAGAGGCAGATATCCAACCTGAACTTTCTTGCCCCCATGTCTCGGCTCTCCCTGTGGCTTTGGGTTGCGTCATGGTTTTAACTTGTTGGTAAGGTTGAAAAAAAAAAAAAAAGATGAGGCCTGAGGGTGATCAAAAGAGGTGACATAGGATCTGATACTGAAAAGATTGAAAAGTAGCACTCAAGCAGAAGATGAGCAAAGTATCCATGTGCTAAGAAAAGATTGGATTTGCATGTACCCAGGACTATTAATGAGGCCTGTATGCCTATGCTGGAGGGGCACAGTAAGCATGGGTTAGAGGAGAGAAAGGTAAGGATTGAAAGAGGGACAGAGGAAACTCATGCAAGTTTGGATACTATTCTAGGATCCATGGAAAACCATTGGAGGGTTTTAAATAGAGGAATGACAGGGTTTGATTTATATCAATTTGTATTTCATTTGAGAAATGGATGGATGGATCAAAGTATTGACAGATAGATTGATTTGACATATTTGGTAGATAAAAATGTAGACGGCTGTTGGTTTAAAGGCACAAGAATTGGACACAGGTTATTGACTTGCATATATTAGGGTAATGTATATATTTGTATACATTAGGTATATGATGTGTATGGAGTGCAGTAGACATTTAATATTTCATCCAAAATTGATGATGGGTGGGAATTGGAGGCAGAGAGAGCTTCATGGTCTGACTGCCTGTTTTCTGCTTTGGCCAGGGACTGTAGTATAGAAGATGACAGCATCACAGGTCAGATCCTAATATGGCAGTCAGGAGACATTTCCCCATCACTCCTGTTGAGATCCCGGAGAATTGCTGTTCTCTCTTTGGGCTGTGCTTAGCCAGCTCTGAGGACATCAGGTTGCTGATGAGCCTGGCATATCTCCTGAAAAAGTAATGCTCAGGTCCACATCTTCCCTAATAACCTTGCGTCTAAATTGTAGTGTCACACAAGGGCGTGTTTAGAAATTAGCATTTGAAAAGAAGCCTCCTTGCTTTCAGTTTGAGCTGACATGGTCGCTTTTCCTCTGTGGAAATGAAATTTATTAATCATAATAAAACCATCGTATTCTGAAGGTAGAGGTCACCCTGAGGAGAAAAGAAGCTGTTCATTTGTGAGGAACAGTTCAGTACTGCTGTATTTTCTTCTGCCTTGGAAGGGAATACTGCCAAATTGTTACCTTGGGTTTTCAGCAAAGATTGAAGCTATGCCCAGTGTTAGAGTTCCAAAAAGGATCTACTAGTAAATACTTCAGTAGAAAAAGGTGGGAGCTATGTTTTCATTCAGACTGTCAATCTGCTGTCCCCTAAAAGGTGGTCATTTTGCCATAGTGAAACCATTCCCTAAATTCAAAAACTTAATTGTTCTGAATTTGCATCTTCACTCTCATTTTGAAGGAAGGCCCTGACATGCTATCACTTTACACAGTCCCCAATATTTTCAGTCTGCCTTTGTAGCTTATGTTCTGTTCTTGAAACATAATCTGTTGGATGAAAAGTGCATTAAAAGTAATCTTATTAATAGGTCTCTCTCTAGACTAATAACAGGCTATTTTCTCATGAAATGGAGATCAATACCAAACTTATATAGCATTTTCTCTTACCCCTCTTAGCATCTTTTTTCTAGTTTAGTGGTTTGAGGTCCAAGTCTCTGGAGTGACCTCCATGAATGTATAATTTCTTTAAAAAATTCATCCTTCTTGTTTTAACACACCTTCTGCCATGACCTTGCATCTACTTTTTCCTCACAGAGAGAAGGAGAATTTCTGATGAAAGGCTTTTTTGGTGGGTAAAAGGACAGTACCATGTCCCAATGAATGGAAAGCAAGAGGGAGCAGAGGCCTTATTTTCACTGGCAGGTGCACTACAAAAAACCACCATCTGGGTTAGTTGAGCTTAGGATCTGCAACAGGCAACAAAGGCTTAGAAGTTAGGACATGCCCAAGGTCAACTCAGTAGTATCCATGTTTTTCCACCTAGGGTGTAACTTGGAGTCTAATGCTTAGAAGGTTGACCCAGCTTCCCTCACTTCCCCGTGCTATATAGTATGAACAACTAAGTCAGACCTACCTGATAGCTGCTCATCCATCTTGAGAGCAAGTATTTTGTAAAGGCAGGACTCGAAGCCGAATCTTCTTTTCCCAGCTCTTGGCTCACTAAATTGTCTGTTTTTAAGCACCATGAGAAAAAAATTTGGAAGGAAAATGTGGGAAAGATAGAGAAGGAAAGGAATAAGGTACACACAAATTGGACGTCAAGGATTTGGAGGTGAGCTTAAGGTTGTTTGTGCAGACAAATTAATTCTTCCTGTCCTGTTTCTTAATTTAAAAAAAGAGGCTGTGTGCTGGTGGCTCAAGTCTGTAATCCTAGCTACTTGGGAGGTTGAGATTGGGAGAATCATGGTTCAAGGTCAGCCTAAGCAAATAGTTCATGAGACCCAATCTCCAAGATAACCAGAGCAAAATAAGCTGGAAGCATGGCTGAAGTGGTAGGCACCTGCCTTGCAAGCGTGATGCCCTGAGTTTAAACCCCAGACGTACCAAAAGAAAAAAAAAAAAAAGAAGTTGTTGAAAACCCACAGACACCATTCAGTGGCTGGTGCATTCATACCCCAGTGGCTATGAGTGTTGGTAGCTAATGGAATGCAGCCCTTGCTCTCTGAGAAATGGTTCTCTGCCAGAGGGAGCCACTTCAATTTGGCTGTGAATCCCCCACACCACAGGGAAGCCTCCAGCTAATGTTTTCCTTACATGGGCATCAAAATGCCAAACCCACTTGTCTCCAGGTGGAACAAACTCCAGCATGCCACTCATAGGATTAGATTAAAGTCAGTGTCCAGCTCCATCTTTTTTCTCTTTTTTCTCTTTGCTCTGACCTGTCTGCCTTTTCTCTCCTCCTCTTGAGAACACTAGCTCCGTAAATCACTTGCAGAAGATTCTCCATATCAGGGTTGGCTTCCAGGGAACCTAACCTCAGATTGCGTCTTAGCTTTGATTAGTACTCAAATCTCACTGTTCAAACTATCTCCAGAAAGATAAGTCGTGGCAGGTCAAAAGAGGGTATGTGATACTGTGGAACAAGCATGAAATTGCCCTAAAATAATCAGTGGTGAGCTCTGATTCTGTCTAGCTATGTCACCTACAGTGAATGTTGTAAACTGTCTGAACTGAAGCAGTGTTTCATTCCAGACAGTGAACACCCAGTGCCTGGGATTTCCCTCCCTCGTCCATTTTTTCTTCTATAACTATAATGATGGAGGGAGAAAGATGGTAAAGGGAGACAGAAAACCTCAAAAGATGAGGAAGTGCTGTTAAGGTGTATTGTTTCAAATCCTTCTCTTCCCACAATCTGGCCAAGGATGGACAAGATAAAAGTTCTAGTATTTGATAAAAATCCACCCAGGCTCTGTTTCCTGAGTTGGAGTCACAGACCCTTCAAGGTGTTCCCCTCAGAGATATTGGCTCGTCCTTTCTAAGGTGTTCAACACTAACTACACAGACAAGTTTTTGTTTACCCTTTCTGATCTCCCCTATCTCGTTTGATTGATGGCACCTAAGGCAGGAGAAAAAGCAACCTTTTTAGAGTGTTAATATGCCCTCCTGGGGCACCAGCCTCCTTATGTCCACTCTGTCCAGTTGTTTCTTCTTGCTTGCCTCTAGGGAAACCTCTAAAGAAGCTATGTCAGCCATGTAGAAATGGTTTTATCGGGAGAGGGGATGTGTATATATGCACATCTTATGGTACATAATGAGTCAACAACATTTATGTGATAGTAGTACTGTAAAATTATACCACCTCATGACCTCACGGTCACCTTGGTCTGTGTAAGTGCAGTCTGTGATGCTTAAGGACAAAACCACCTAAGGATGCATTTCTCAGAACATACCCCCATCAGTAAGAAGCATATGACTGTCGATGTTGAGCACATTAAATACAATCAACTCTGTCAAATGAACCAAAGAACGCACTGTGCACAGTTTTCTCATGCCATGCGGCAGAGTGGAAGGCGTTGCTTGTTTTATTTAGGATGAGTAGGACCCCGCCACACTGTCTTGGTATTTTGTACTCTGTGATTGGCATTATTACACTTGTAACTGCAAGTCTTCTGCTTCCCTTTCAGTTACGGACGAGTTTATGCTGCCGACCCCTACCACCACACACTTGCTCCAGCCCCCACCTACGGCGTTGGTGCCGTGGTGAGTATTGCTTCTTCCTTGTCCTCTCTTCTTCCTGCTGCCCTTCCCTTCCCCCAGCTGGGCCTTAGTATGGGTTGATGGTTGACATCCTCTCACTTTCCCTTAATTGAATTTGTCTCTTGTGCTAACAGCAGCTAAAATGCCACATTAATCCTCCTAGTAAACTTGATAAATGTCTTAATTTCTTGGCAATGTTGTGCATGTAAGTTATTATATTTCTAATTTTGCAAGTCTCACCTAGCGGAGCACTTACCTTAATGGAATAATTAGTCATTTTGATAATTAAATCCATCACTAACAGAATGCAGTGTCAATGCAGAACTTTTTTTTTCTTTTTTTTTTCCCTCCCTTGCTGCTCATTCACATAGCCCCAAGGTTCCAGCCCCAGCACAGACTTCAGAGGAGCTAAGCTGCACACTTCCAGGCCTCTGCTGTCAGGCAGCTGAGAATCTGACTGCCTCTCCTCCCCTTTTACAATTCATGTTTAAAGTCATAGTCGCCCAGGAGAGAAAATAGAGAGAGGGACACACTTTGTCTGTGTGCCTAGTACATAAGAAAGTAGAAGGAATCAGCTGGGTTTGGGGGTTGTCTTGTTTTTGGGGGGCTCTGGGTTTTTGTTTTGGGAAGGGTAAAGGGGAGGGCAAAAATGGGAGATGAGGGTGGGGTGAATTTGCCTGTATTTGTTCAAACTTCTATGCACTAAACCTCTGAGTCCAGTAAGACGTGCCCATCACGTGAGAGCGTATGCAATCGTGACAAAGCTTTGGCATGCAGTTTTCTGCTTGGATCAAGAATATCAGTCCTTAGCCTAAAAATAAACCCCATAGGCATTCACTGGAATCGCCAATATCTTTAGATGACCAGATAATACCCAGGACCTTGGTCATAGAAACTTAACCAACCAGGATTTGGAAACCTATTGTTTTGCACAAAGCATAATTTCATCCAGCAATGCATCTGTACTGCCCCTCTCTCAAGGACAGATTCCACCCAGTTGCTGAGCCAAGTCTTTGATTTTCGTCTTGATTCAGCATTCAACAACTCTCCTTCCTCACCTAGTCCACATGAGTAAAGTGCGGGAAAGGAGAGTCGAATCCCTACATTCAATAAATCCTCTAGAGTCAATCTTGAGTGTACACTGAGCTTTCCCTAAGGGAACACAGTATTAATTAATCCACCCCATCAAGGAAACAAACCAATAAAACGAGACAGAGCAAATCTTCAATTGTCCAGTTGGTATCAGAGTCCTGCTCGTAGTTAACAGGACTGGCTGACAACTTGGTCTTACAGGGATTTTCCTTTGTAAAGGGTTTTGGGGGAAAGGTCAGGGCTGGCACCATCTTTATTTAGCTCTCTAAGAATGCCCTGGGATGGGTAGGGGGTAGCTTCCATTTTGGTTGGTTTTCAGTGTCTGTTTTTTCACATTAGTCTTTTTGATGATGCACATGTTGCAAAAGGAAAATGTAAAAAACGCACCCCTCAAATTGCTTTGTTTCAGAATGCTTTTGCACCCTTGACTGATGCCAAGACTAGGAGCCATGCTGATGATGTGGGTCTCGTTCTTTCTTCATTGCAGGCTAGTATATACCGAGGGGGATACAACCGTTTTGCTCCATACTAAATGAGAAAAACCATTAAAAACCAAACAAGCAAAACCTTCCAATGTGGGGAGAAAGGAAGGTTCCCGAGGCCTGAGTATTGCAGTACATGCAGTAGAGTATCACTTTAGCAACTCTAAAAAATAAAAAAAAAGAGGAAACAAATTACATTTTTTATCTTATACCTCAGATATTTTGTTCTGTGTATTTTAATATTGTGGGTCTTTCATTTCTGAAGGTTCTGTAGTTTGGTTGCCGGCTGTAGGATTTTTTTGTGGTTGATCTAGAAAGACACTAGATATGAATTAAAAAAAAAAACCTGGTTTAGGGCCATATCCAGAGTGCTATATTATGTAAATGAATTATATATGCTGACTATGAAGCTTCTGGGGTTAAGCTGTCTGGGAAGAGTGTAAGTGACTTAGTAGTCATTCTTTTCTGCATCTGCATTATTTTATTTTGTGAAAGGGGAGGTCGGGGATGGGGGGGAGCCTATGGGATTGGGACTGGGGTTTAACAAAAGAAGAAAAATATAGTAACTGAGAATCTAAACGACCCACTGCACCAATCATATATAATGGTTCTAAGTTACTCATTGCCAGTTCAAGCCAAAGGTTATATGGTAAGGGGCTGCTCCTAGCAGTAGTATCCACTGGAGTCCAAGTTGGATGAAGCTGTATAAACCTACCCTTTAAACCATTCCACCCGGCAGTATTCAGCTTCTTAACCAGCTGCTAGTTATTTAGGCAAAAACTACTAGTTAGGCCATCAACAAGCATTCTTTTTATATTTCTTCCAGTATAATAAATTATTGATATCATTGCTGACTTTTATATTATGGGAGGGAAAAATAACATTAATAAAAAGGTGATAAAAAGCACTGTTTCTATTTTTTTCTTTTTTTCCAAAAAAAGAAAGTAATAAAAACTTAAATTCTTTGTACCAGTTAAAAAATGTATAAAATTTACATCTGTGCAGTGGAGTTGTTAAGTTCTAGAAACAGTCCATGAAGCTTTAGTTTTAGCTTAGTAGAACAACTATTAGAGACAGACGTATAATTTTTATGGAATTACATGATAATCATATTCAGATTTATAGACGCATTTTACAAGTATTGCAATCATTGAGTAGAGATAATCATGGTATTTTCATCAGCGTGGTACTTTTTGAAACTTGAGTACGTTGTGTGAGCAATCTGCAATTTTTCAGTCCGTGAGAGCCTGCCCTTCCACCTCTCCCCCATTCCCCAGGACTATCTTAAATCAATATTTTTAGTTCTATCTCCAAGGCCCAGGACACTTGTCAGAAGGAAGCAAAAAAAGTAGATCCACCCTCTTCATCCCTATAGAACAAAATCCCCCGATCCTTTCTGGGATGTAGGGCCAGAGTGACACAGCCGAAAAATTGCAGTTTGTCTATACTTCTTCTGTTTGAACTCTTCCCATGTTGTCCTGTTTACAAGTTAACTTAAGTTGGGGTATCTGTCACAGGTCTTCCTGTTTTTGTATTTAAATTTAAAAAATTAGCAGCAAGCTGTCCCCCCAAGTAGTTTTGCTGCCATACTTAATAAGTCCTCGTGTGCAGTGCAAGCCCAAAAGCACGCACTTTAGTAAGTTATCAACTCACGCTATGAACCTGCCAATCCGCTGTAACAACTCTGCTTTAAAAACAAAACCAAACAAAACTTTAAAAAAAAAAAAAACAGTGTTTGTGACCCAGCTTTCTCTTGTCATCCTTTGTGCATGCTGTAAGATCAGTTGGATATTAAAACCATCAATAAAGTTTCACAAGATTTGAAAACAAAGTTTCTGTACCTTCGATGTCTAAGAGATGATAGTAATCTTGGAACAAGAAACAAGGGGGGAGGGGGAAGGCTGAGAGAAAAATAAAAAGCATAGAAGTTGTTCATTGTTGGTGGGAAGGGGAGGGGCCAGGATGTGTTTTCTAGCATAACTGAGTTGTCCTCATTCCCCCACCTAGAAAACAATGTGGTGATGGTGGGTGCCTAGCAGATGTTATTCAAGGGAACCGTTTATTACAATGCTATGACATGCGACCTCAGAAGGGATAAAGACAGTAGGATCAGGGGCTGTGGAACATAGCATAGATGTCTCCCAATTGCCCCCGCTTTCAAAATCCAGAATTTGTATTGTGTTTGAAATCATGAACATAAGAATTTTTACTGTGTTGGTTAAAGTAAAACTTCATTTGCAGTTTTGATTTTCATCAATGAGCTGTACTTTCCCCTACGATTGTATGTAGTTTAATAAAATCATTTAGAGTAAACGGGTACCAACGGATGTTACAGATCCTTTCGTCTAGGCGCTCTGCCAAGATGTCAGTCATTTTAAAATGTATGTCAGAGACGTAAACAAACATTTTGGATTTTTTTAAATGGTATTTATTTGGAATGTTTTCATTTATCTAAATAACTATTGCTATTATGAATTATGGAAAAAAGATTAATATGTGTGGCATATAGTGACTTCTTAACACACACATCATGCAATCTGCAAACCCACAAAATGTGCATATCCGTCTTTAGAAATTAGTGTTTATATCACTTACAGTGGTTTGTGAATAAAGAAAACTGGTTTGTAATATCAAAAAATAAAAGCTTAGTCTGAAAAGGTACACCTGAGTTGGCGTTCTGTTTCTTCTAATTCTGTGACTGTCCATAGAGGGAGAGTGATTATCCATATGTAGTATTTGTGCCCACCAGAGTTTCAGGTGGCTGGGTGCCGGCCAAGCGTGTTATAGGAAGCTTTGGTCAGAAGTAGAAGAAAGCATAGACTGCTTGTCTGGGTCCAAGCTCTTCCTTTCCTTATTCACATGTCCAAAGAAGTCAGTAGAACCATGACAGATGTTTAAGAAATACACTTGAAACTCACCAAGCCTAAGCTATTCCCCCAGCACCAAAATGTCACTCTTCAGTTTAAAACAAAACACCATCACACTGTGCATTTCAAATGAAACATCTGTTCAGCTTATTATTACAAATTGTTGGGAAGGGGCCTTGGATGTGGATGATGAAAAATAGTAAGTGTTAAGAGTTTATGTGTACCTAGTGTTTACTATGAGCCAAGCAACTTGTATTCCTTATTTCACGTAACCATTTCAGAATCCCACCAGGGTCAAACTACCTACCTTAGTTGCTTAATCCTGCCCCATTTAATATCTCACTTGTTCTTTCAAGCTGGAAATACACGTAAAGGTTAAAAAAACAAAAAAGATGTGAGGATCTGAGTTTACATCTAGATTCTGTCACTTGCTGGGTACAAGTTAAACCAAAGCACTGTACCTCAGTCTCCTCACCCATAGTTCAGGGTTATAAAAATACATGCCCCATAATATTGCAATGTGGAGTAAATAAAGCAATCCAGGTAAAGTGCTTACAGCCACACTTCGGAAAATATTAAGCTGTTATTAGAGGTGAAGCAATAGTGGCACAATCAGGGGACTTAAGCCAAGATCACAAAGAGAGCCAATGGCCAGGCTGAAGTGTCCTTAATTGACAGGAAACTTTCTCACCAGATTGATGAGAGCTTTAGAGAAGAAACGTTTTATCCTTCGTGCTCTGCAGACCTTTGTTTTCTTATCATCTTTCCATACCAAGGATTGTCTTAATGTGGATTATGACATTTCAACCATATGCAATGGTCTCTTCTCTGTAAACTCCTTATATATAGGACTGTATGTATGCAGATACCGTACCTGTACTAATCTATATAGATAGGTTAAGTCAACTTTTATTGCCCTGTCAATGGATCCTTAGAGGTACTGTTCCCCTTATTTTATAAATGAAGATAATGAGGGTTGAAAGATCATATGGTTTGCCTTACAAAACTTCTGGTATCTGTTGGAAACAGGCTCCATGAAGATCTGTTTAACCCTGCTCTCTTCTCTCTTCTAAGAAGTCTGCTCTCTTATTGACAAGGATGGTGGTAATGGTGGCAGTGGTGATAATAGCAAACCTGGTGCTCTTCTTACAAAATATGTGAGGATAAATTAAAACACAGAGGAAGTCACTGGCTTCATCCTGGCAAGGAGGCAGAAGGGAGATGAACGTCTCCAAAAACACTGGTTTAGGACTGAGCCCTACCTCCATCAAGTAGGAGGATGTAAATGTAGATGACAAAAACAGTCAGAGTTTACATTAGCATATCCAGAAGCAGGCTCTTCTCCAAAGTGGAGATCAGTATATAAATTTCATGTGAAATGCAAAGAAAGTCAAAATGGCAGATGTGAACAAATCTCCTCGAAGACTCCATCAATGGATGCCAGTGCTTGTCTCTTGCTGTACATTCTACCTGGAGTGTGGACAGAGATGAGAATATGAGCCCATTGGAAGCCGAGGTGGTGTACACAAGCCTTGTGTATAAACAGAAGCTGTTTGTGAATGATGCCTGAAAAGTGAGCATAGCTTCATCCCACCTGTAGTATATTTCTTAAAATGAAATTTTAATTACACAGTGAAATCTCCATCTAAAATAAATTTTTTATTAAACAATCTGTGACCACTATCCCAATCCCAATTTCCCACTCCACCTTCTGACCCTTTTACTATTTAAGATGGCATCTGTAGCCTGCATCTGCTTCCTGGGAAGGAGCCCATTTTGAAGCAGACATACTTCAGGTGAGCACTTTGCTGTCCCATGCACACACACACACACACACACACACACACACACACAAAGCCTTGCACTGCTAGAACAGAGTCATTCCAACACATGGTTCACAGACTTCCTCTCTCAGTTACATCAGGTGAGCTTATTGAAAAAAATCCTTGTTTGCAGGTAACTGGATGGAACTGGAGAACCTCCTGTTAAGTGAAATAAGCCAGGTTCAGAAAGACAAAGGTTGTCTCTCGTGTGGAAAATAGATTCAAATACAAATACAAATACAAATACAAGCATTATCATATATACATGTATATATACAAAACAGTTTCCAAAAGTAGCACTCTTGGAGAAGACCAAAGAAGGAAGGAAAGAAGAAAGAATGAGAGTGAATAATAATGAAATACATCATATCAGTGACAGAACAAGACACAATGAAACACACTGAAAACTGTTGAATACAAGGTGGGGTGAAATGAGTACCAATTAAAGTACAATATATTTACAGATAAAATACCAAGGTCAAACCCTACTGAACAATGAACAGACATTTAAACAATGAAGGGTGGAAATGTCAACCAGGTCATGTTAAGGGAAGAGGAATAGCAGAGAGGGAAGAATAAACAAAGAGGGTAAAGGGGGAGGGTGAATATGGTTGACATATTTTCTACACATCTATGAATATGTAACACTGAAACCTACTGAAGCCATTTTAAGAAGGGGAGGGAGAAGAGGGTTAAAAATGGACACAATGAACCAAAACAGGGTACACTGTATGCATATGTGGAAATGTCACAACAAAATATCCTGTACAAATATTATATACCAATATAATCATTAAAAAGAAAATGTAAATTCCTGGACCTCTCTGCTTCCCACACTGCTGAGGCTAAGGACAATCATTGCATAGGAGGTACCATCTTCCAGAGAATGTAGTAGTGGAGTTCCAGCTTGATTCTCCTGCAGACCCAATTACAAAGATGGGAATGCAGATGAATTAGCAAGCTTCTGTGTGCACATGTGTGAGGGCACTGTGTGCACACAGACATGAGCACAAACCTACACATACCTTTCTAGTGACGACCTCTGGCTATTTTTTCCACCAATAAATTCACAAACTAGGACTGACATAATCTTCTCACAAGAGGGGAGATAAGTCAGTTTTCTTAGGAAATTTCCAAAGGCTGGATTTTCTGGAGGGATGATCTTTCACTTTTCATTCACATTGGATAGTTCATTTTTGGGGGGATATTTACAAAGTCTGGGATTTGGAGGGGGGGATGTTTTGTTTTTCATTGATACTGGATAATAGGTGTGTATACACAAATACGTATTTGGAACACTTGTATGTAAATTCTCAAGATGCAATTTTTTCTGAAAGGTGGGAAGTTTTCATTGTGCAATTGCTTAGGATTCAACCTGATGTTTGATGCTGGACCAAGGGCCCATTCACTTCAGAGCCCAAAGCAGAGCCTGTCAAGTCAAGGGCAAAACCATCACCTCCTAGGGGAGGTGAACTTGGGGGTGAACAGTACCAGTTGCTTTTTGATACTCCCCTGAAATCCCAGCTTTATTTTCTGTATTGTATTCTAATTTTCCTCTTGGAAAATTGAGGAGACACCAATAGCTTGGATAATGAATGCTATTCTGACCACAGGTAACTGACCTGAAGAATTTACTGTCTCCACTGAAAGCTACTTTCCAGGTATTGTGAGGAAAACATGGACCAGTCTTTTAAAATTAATAGCACCGTTTCCCAAAGGGAACAAGTGTTGTAGCTTATAATGAGAATAAAACAACCAATCGCAGGTAACCTTACTCAAAACATTGGTAGGCACTTGACACGTGTACTTGATCTATGTGTTCAGTTACCCATCCGTGTCTATAATCTATATATAAGAGACGTTTAGAACATCTTTACCCTGGTGTACTTCAATCATACATAAAATTAGGGCAATATATGACCAAAGCCTTAGAGTTCTTGTGCAAAGAAGGTGCATTAAAACATGTAAAACACTCAGCCCAACATATAACATTTTTTCTTTTTAATATTAAATCATTTCTATATTCATCTGAAGGACACTCACACCTTTCTATCTATCCATGTATTTATGTATTATGGATTTAAGTAGCATATATTCTTTATATGACATAAAATATAATGTTTACACATAGAGTTCTATATAATTGTATACATCTAAAATAAATGTCTTCCTAGGCACAGATGGACAGCAAATGCTTTTTTAATATGCTTATTTTTATGCCTTAATGGAACTACTATTGGTCTATAAGTATATATGCTAATTCTGATAGAGAACTTAGATATGAATCCAGTAAGTGATCGGCAAATGGTAACGACTGCTATTATTCTTACTATGGTCTGTCTTAATCATTACAACCTGGCAAGGCCAATAGATTATCACCCTGGTCTACTCATAAGGAACCAGAAGCTCAGGCAAGGCTGGGGACATTGCTAGAGTGTGCAGTTACTAAGCAATAGAGTTCAGCCATAGACATTGACTGTCTGACTCCAAAATGTTTGCAGCTACAAATACCCTTCACCTCATCCTTGCAGCAGTCCAGGTATGCAATTTGCCTCATGTCACAAAGCTTATAAGGATTGGAAGTAGGAGCTGAACCAGGGGTCCTTTCTTCTCTGTACTGAACACTGCACTCAGAGGTCCAACTTCCTCATACACCTAATGAGCTCTGGTTTAGGTGGTGGCATTGCAGGAGGGCCCCAAAGTTTACCTGTGAACCAGCACAACACCTCTCTCTTTCACTTTCTCATGATTATTCCTCAGGAAACCCAGCATGGGCCTGTGACTTTGACATCCAAGCTCTCTGACTGAAATAGACAGATGGTGTGTTGCCTGAATGAAGCAAAAAATCAGGGAGAGCAAAAGAATTCCCAAGGCTCTAAAAAGGAAGGAAAAAATAGCAGCTGCAGGTAGAAAATAGAAAAGCAGAGACCCAAGAAGTTAGGGTAATGGTACTACTTCCGGCGGGAGAA